AAATCCTACTCAGCGGGCGGGGTGGGGGAAGCACTGCGGAGTGGTGGGGGGCGGCCCAAGGGGCTGGGAGAGGGTCTGGCCCACTCTGCGCCTGGGCTGGGACTGGTCCAGCAGGCGCAGGGTAGCAGGAAGCTCTCTGCACACTCACCGGACCTGGGCTAGGACTGGGTCTCTACTTCATGTTTATATGTAAGATTCTTGTCTGTCATCAAGAGAGTCCCTTGGAAATTATGTAGGTTGGAACTAGTGTCAGATTTCACTATTATTACTTTATCCAATCAGTTGCCATTAAGCCTCTAGTATTAAATGTACAGTACTATGAAGAATACAAAATAGAGAAGTTTAAGCAAAATCCAAAACTGATCATAAGGTAAAAAAGTGCCTGAGTTGGGATTTGAACTCCGCAAGTATGGTTCCCAACGTCTCCGTTGTTAACCGCTACATACGTGCCTCCCCAGAGTATAATTTACAGCTAGTCTAATATAATTTATAGTTTTGTTTCTGCGGTCAGTTCGCCTTCAGCTGCAATCCATGAATTATCGCTATGCATGTTCTTTTGTTGCCTCAATGACTAACAGTTGAATTTCAAGTTGCTGTGCGGCCGAATTGCACTTCCTTCTTGTAGAAAGACGCTCAGACTTACGTGGAATGACTAAAAGTCTTCCGCGCTCATTGGCGTCCTCTAATACTTTTCCTTCCTAGAAAGAGGTTCGGTCCTCCTGGCCCCGCCCCCAGAAGGTGCGGCCGCGGGGCGGAGCCTGCACGGAGCGCAGCGGCTCGCGGAGCCCGCGCGGAAGACCCGGCCGGCGCAGGAGCGGCGAGCGAGACCACCCGGCAGGGCTGCGCGCCCCGCTTCTGCCCGCTTCTCTCTGTCGTTCTTTCCACCGTCGCCAGGTCTGGTCGTGAAGGTTTTAAATGAAAAATACACTTTTCTTCTGCTTCCCACTGACACAGCTTACTTCCACTTGCAAGCTACGTGCTTCCTTGTTCCGTTTCTCGGGAGTGGACGAGGCAGAAGGGGTATGTAAACTGTAGAAGTAATTCCTGTAGAAAAACCAGGGGGCTTGTGCGTACAGCAGTTTGGAAATTTTCCTTGCAAATAGTTTTGGTTTCCCTGTAAATGGTTCTAACGTCGCTTTAAAAAAAAAACAAAAAAAACTTTGTGCGTTATTTTTCCTTCTCCTAACCTCTTCAGGATCTGGGGTCTTTTATTTTCTTTAAAGGTCTTTCCATAGAAGAGAAAGAAAGGAAGATAATTGAAAAGTTAGCTTTCTTCCTTTCTTTGATGAAAGAATAATTTGAAGAATGCAGTTAAAAATAAAAAATACAGAGCAATACCCAGTACCGCAAATAAATAAATAAATAAATAAATGAGTCTTTAAAAAAAATACAGATCAACGACAAACATTATTTTAAAGTCTCAACAGCCAGTAAGGCAAAAGGTTGGTGAACATCTTGATAATATTCATTGTTATTTTTTGGAAATGTTCAGATTTAACGTTATTTAAATGAATGTGTATAGGTATAAATGGAGGACAGTGAATCAGAAATGTAAAATTAGCTTTAGACATACTTTAAAAATATTTAAAATTATTTTAAATAGTCATGCATATTTATGATAGTGTAAAATTCAAATAGGTTAAAAAAGAGGAAATTTAAAGAAGACTTCCTTTGTATTTCAGGCAGATAATCTTCTTCAAAATCAACCAGTGTCACTCCTCTGGTTTATGCTCCCTAAAATAGTGTGGGCATTGTAAGTGCAGACACAAATAAACTTGCTTGCTGTTAATTATACGCATGATTTCTGTACTTTGCTTTGTTTCACTTCACAATATCTTTTGAATGTACATATATACCTGCCTTATTTATTTATTTATTAGTTGTGTATTTAGTACAGGGTCTATAGGGTCTCACTACACAGAATGGACTCATAGTGAATCTCCTGCTTTCAGCCTCCCAAGCGGTGGGATTACAGGTGCGCATCATCACACCCAGTCCCAATCCCCCTCTCAGCACAGCACGCTAGAGGTCAGACCACAGTCCTTGTGTCTGCCTAAGCAGGAGCTTTAATCCCGCTGAGCTATTTGGCCAGCCCTTGCCTCATTTATTTATTTATTTATTTATTTATTTATTTATTTATTTATTTTTTGCCTCATTTATTTTAACAGCCATGTCATATTTCATTGTATAACATAGGATATTTTCTTTGGCTGTCTTCGCAAATATATTTAACTTGCTTCCAGTATTTTGTTATTCTGAACAAAACTATTGTTATAATTAAGTCATTTTATGTCCAGATGTAATAACTCCTAGAACTAGAATTATTGAGGCAAACGTTGTGCATTTTTATTTGATAGATATTGATCATTGTTCTTCACAGAGACTGTACCAATTATCCCGCAGAGCAATACATGATTTTCTTGTTTCCTCACTCTCTCACTGTGTCATCAAACTTTCTGGTCTTTGTCGTCTAAGTGAAAATTTATTGTTGATTTAGTTTGATTTTCTGCCATTATAAGTAGACTGAATATTCTGCATTTTCTTTTGGTAAACTTACTGTCATCTTTTATCTACTTAAAAAAAATTTTTTGTTTTGTTTATGTATTTGGTACAAGTCTCCCTGCAGAGTTCAGACTTGAAGTGATCCTCCTGTCCTAGCCTCCGCAGAGCTGGGAGGTATTTCATGCTAGGGTTTTGGGCTGGCATGGCAGGGATCAAACTCGGGTCATTGTGCTTGCTAGGCAGGAACTTAGACTGCTAAGCTATCTCCCCAGCCTCCCATTACCTTTTATATTGCTCTTTAATTATGTATACATTGTGTTTCTCATATAAGAGAAACTAAGTAACATTTAAGCTCTGTGGCTGATTTCACTAGTTATTTCACTAAGTATTATGGTCTTAAGAATTGTCCATTTTCCTGCAAATGACTCAAACTTATCCTGTACTGCTGAGTAGTACTCCTTTGTGTACAAATACCACATTTTCTCTATATATACATCTACTGATAGAGATATAGGCCTTTTCTAACATGTAACTATTATGAGTTGTGCTCCTGTAAACATAGGTGTACATGTATCTCTGCAAAATGATGTCTTTAACTCTTATGGGTAGATACCTAGAAATTTTAAAACATGTGTTGAACCCAACGGGGACTCTCCATATTTATTTCCATAGTAGCTGTACTAGCTAATGTTCCTACAGGGCTATAGAAAGCTTCTACTTTCTCCTCATCCTCAGCAGCATTTGTTATTCTTTGAATTCTTCTTGATAGCCATTCTTTCTGGAATAAGACAGACTCTAAGATGGAATGTTGTTTTTAGTTGTATTTCTCTAGTGGCCAAAAATATTGAACATTTTTTCATGTACTAATTGACCATTTACATTCTTTTTCTGGGAAGTGTTTATGGCTCATTTTTTATTATGATTTTTTTTTATTTAGGAGATCTAGGTATTTTTGTGTTTGACATATACGGTATTCCACAAATTGGTCCTCAGTCTGAGGATTAGCTGGCAAAATTTTTTTCCTAAGTTTCATATATTCCAAGATTTTCATCTGATTTGGTTAATGGTAGGCTCTTTTCCAGTGGAGGGAGAAGACTTTCTGTTGCTTTTAACTTTAACAGATATGTAGTTTTTATATAATTTTATTTTATACAATCAGATTTTCTCTGCTGCCAGATTTTTGGTTTTTTATTTATTTTTATGTTTTGTATTTTTTTAAGGGAAGGGTCTACAGGATGTTCAGGTTCTCACTACTAGATCGGACTCATAGTGATCTGCCTGTTTACAGCCTCCCAAGAGCAGGGATTACAGGTGCACGCCACCACGCCCAATCTCAATTGCAGTCTCAGTGCGCCTCAGGGGCTAGACTAGCATGGCAGGCCAGGGGATCTAATACCTAGCCCCTGTGCCTGCTTGCAGGCACTTTACTCCGCTGAGCTATTTGACTGGCCCTAGACTTTTCTTTCTTTTTTTTTTTTAATTAACTTTCCTTCTTGCATTATTTGATTTTTAAAGTTTAAATATTTAATTGATCTAAATCTAGGTTTGTGCAAGTATACCACTTTGTTTGGTTTTATTCCACTTAGAGTCAATCACTTAAATAAGTGGAGAGAAGTCAAAAAGTCCCAGTGCAAACCCACTGGTTAGAATAGGGACCCTTTTAATATCTATGGCCCTCTGGAGAATGGTATGAAGCACAGGTGGATCTGCAAGACCCTTCTTATTCCCAGAGAATATTTTGACAGGATTCTTAAGCTCTGAATTAGAAAACAGTACAGTTTTTCAGCATTGTGACTCCAGAGTTGGAGTTAATCAGTGTTTCTAATCTTGTGACTTATTCTTATTTCTTCCTACATTCTGCAAAAGGATACATAGTATAATCAAAATTTGTGATGGGGGATTATATATTTACTTTTTTATTTTTCTTTTTTGTTTTTCCATAATTTTATTGAGAGACAAATAGCAATGAGACAGTTTCAAATCAAATTGGTA